GTAAAGATCGAAAATTTAAATAGACCCACAACCAGCAAGGAAATTGAATCAGTATCAAAAAATTCTCAACAAATAAAAGTCCTGGGCCCGATCAATTCCCAGGGGAATATTGCCATATATTTAAAGAAGAGTGCATCCTATCCTTCTCAAACTATTCCATAAAAATAGACACAGAACAAAAACTTCAAATTCATTCTATAAAGCCAATATGACCTTGATCCAAAGGCAGGCAAAGACCCCACTAAAAAGGAGAATTACAGGCCAATACCCCTGATAAACATGTATGGAAAAATTCTCAACAAGGTACTAGAAAATTGAATTCAAGTGTACATTAAAAGAATTATTCATCATGATCAGGGGTTTATTCCTGGACTGAAGGGCTGGTTCAATATTTGCAGATCATTCAATGTGACAGAACCACATTAATAAAAGAAAGAATAAAAATGATATGATCTTGTCAATAGATGCACAAAAAACATTTGACAAAGTACAGCATCCATTCCTGATTAAAAAAAAAAAAACTCAACAAAGTAGGGGTAGATGAAACATACCTCAACATTACAAAGACAATGAATGAAAGACTGTCAGCTAATTTCACCTTCATTGGGGAAAATCCAAGAACCTTTCTCCTATGGTCAGGAACAAGATAAGGATGCCCACACTCACCATTACTAATTAATAAGTAGTAGAAGTCTTAACCTCAGCAATCAGACAAGAAAAAGAAATAAGGGGCATACAAATTGGCAAGGAAAAATCAAAATTTCATTATGTGTAAATGACATGTTACTCTATGTTCAAAACACAAAAGATCTCCACCAAAAAATTGCTAGAACTAATCCACAAATTCAGCAAATTTGCAAGATATAAAATCAATGTGCAGAAATTTGTTGCAATTCTATACAACGTAACAAAACAACAGAAAAATAAATCTAGGAATCAACCCCATTTACAATTGCACCAGAAAACATATGATTCTTAGGAATAAACCTAACTAAAGAGATATATACTCTGAACAATACTACCCAAATCAATCTGAAAACGACTACTCAAATCAACCTACACATTTCATGCTACCCTTAACAAAATACCACCAGCATTCTATGCAGAGTTAGATCACACAATCCTACTTTGTATGGAACCAGAAAAGACCCTGAAAAGCCAAAGAAATCTTGAAAAATAAAACTGGAGGCATTACAATTCTGGATTTCAAGCTATATTCCAAAGCTGAAGTCATGAAAACAGTTTGGTACTGGAACAAAAACAGATTGATTATTGAAACTGAATACAATACTCAGATATGGACCCTCAACTATATAGTAAGCTCATCGTCAAGAAAGCAGGAAAGATTATCCAATGGAAGAAAAAAAAACAGTCTTGGGTGCCTTGGTGACTCAGTCGTTTATGAATCTAACACTGGCTCAGGTCATGATCTCACTTTTCATGAGTTCCAGCCCCACATCGGGGTCTCAGAGCCCAGCTCAGAGCCCAGAGCCTGCTTCAGATTCTGTCTCTATGTCTCTGTGCCCCTCCCTCAACTTGTGCACTCTCTCTCTCTGAAGAATAAATAAAGATTAAAAAAAATCTCTTCAGCAAATGTTTTTCAGAAAACTGTACAGCGAAATGCAGCAAAATGAAACTGGATCACTTTCTTACACCATGCACAAAAAAAATTCAAAATGGATGAAAGAACAAAATTTGAGACACGAAACCATCAAAATCATAGAGAAGAACACATGCAACAATGTCTTTGACCTCAGCTACAGCCACTTCTTACTAGACATGTCACTGGAGGCAAGAAAAATAAAAGCAAAAATGAACTATTGGGACTTCATCAAGATAAAAAGCTTCTGCACAACAAAGGAAACAATCAGCAAAACTAAAAGTAAACTGAATGGGACAAGATATTTGCAAATAACACATCTGATAAAGAGTTTGTATCCAAAATCTATAAAGAACTTATCAGACACCCCCAGAAATTAAAAACAAACAACAACAAAAAAATAAAAGCACAACAATCCATTGAATAAATGGGTAGAAGACATGGATAAACACTTTTCCAAGAAGACATCCAGAGAGCTAATGCTCACATGAAAAGAAGCTCAACATCATTCATCATGAAGGAAATACAAATTGAAACCACAATGAGATATAATGTCACACCTGAAAAAAAAAATGTCTTAAATTAACAACTCAGGAAAAAACAGATGTTGTCAAAGTGGGAGAAAGGGGAACATTTTTGCACTGTTGGTGGGAAGGGAAACTGATGCAGCACTCTGATAAACAGTATTCAGTTTCCTTAGAAAATTAAAAATAGAACTACCCTGGTGGCCCATCAATTGCACTACTAGGGATTTATTCAAATGATACCAAAAAGCTGTTATGATGGGGCATATGCTCACCAATGTTTATAGCAGTGCCATCAACAATATCCATATTATGGAAAGAGTCCAAATCCATCAAATGGTGAATGGATAAAGAAAAGGTGATGTGTGTGAGAGAGAGAGAGAGAGAGAGAGAGAGAGCAGTGTGAAATATTGCTCATTGATGAAAAGGAGTGAAATCTTGCCATTTGCAACAATGTGGATGAAACTACAGGGTATTATGATATGCAAAATGTCAGGCAGAGAACGACAAATACATGCTATCTCTCATATGTGGAATTTTAGAAACTCAACATATGAACATAGGGAAAGGGAAAAAAAAATAAGAGAAAAACAGAGATGGAGGCAAACCATAAGAGACAAACACAGAGAACAAACTGAGAGTTGCTGGAGGGAGCTGTGTGAAGGATGGGGCAGCAGGGTGATGGGCATTAAGGAGGACACTTGTTGGGATGAGCATTGGGTGTTGCATGTAAGTGGTTATTCACTGGGTTATGCATTTTAAACCAATATTATAGTGTATGTTAATGAACTTATATTTAAATAATAAATTTTAAAAGTTTAAAAATTAATCTAAGTCGATGAAAGATATAATAGCTAGAATCTTGAGAAGCAATATTGCAACCAAGCACATTAAAGACTGGAGTATTATGAGGAACTCATTTTTCACTACAGATGTAGGAAGATCAAATGAGAAGAAAAAAGTTGGTTCATTAGAGTATATAAAAATAAGAAAATAAAATTAAAGAAATGATTAATAAATTTCTAAATTCAAAATTAGACAATAATGTTACAAATCAGAAATTCATTGTAACAAAAATGTATTAAAATTACTCACATAAAATATTAACCAAACTGGATAACTCAAAAGAAAAGGAAATATCTAAAGGATAACAAAAATACTAATTCAAAGGGATACATGCACCCTGATGTTTATAGCAGCATATCTTACAATAGCCAAACTATGGAAAATGCCCAAGTGTCCATCAGCTGATGAATGGATAAAAAAGTGACATATATGTATGCAATGGAATATTATTCAGCCATCAAAAACATTTTAATCTCAATAACATGGATGGAGCTAGAGAGGATAATGCTAAGTGAAGTAAGTCAGTCAGAGAAAGACGAATACCATATGACTTCACTCATATGTGGAATTCAAGAAACAAAACAAAGGGGGAAAAAGAGAGAGAGAGGCAAACCAACAAACAGACTCAAGTATAAAGAACACACTGATGGTTCCCAGGGGGGAGATGGGTGGATGCTGTGTTAAAAGGGTGATGAGGATTAAAAAGTGCACTTGTCTTGATGAGCATGGGGTGATGTATGGAAGTGTTGAATCACTATTTTGTGCCTCTGAAACTAATATTACACTGTATGTTAACTAACTGGAATTTAAATTAAAAAAAAATAAAAGGAAAAAAATGTAAAAGCACTGAGAAAAGGGGGGAGAGGTTTAAAAGCAATGAAAGATAAAATAGAGAAAAGCTACAAAGGTGAGGGTAAAATCTCTGCAGCCTTAATAGAAGCCAGAACACAGAGAAGTAAGTATAAAGAGGGCAGAGAGAAATTGTTGCTAAGTAAAATTGGATACATAGCTAAGTCTCTTGAATAAGAGTAAATTTAAGTTTAAAAATACTGCATTACCAATAGGTAATACTAACATTGTACTAATTCACAATAATAATTTAGAGTGTAATTTTCTTGTACAAGAGACAATTTTCCTAAAGGGAGTTTGAGAATTAAAGTGAAAGAGACAGGAATTGTAAATGCGTAGGAATATCTTATCTTCCTGAATACTAAACTAAACAAACTGGAGGGTCCTTCACATCACAGGTTTCAAAAATATTTAGATAAATTAAGATATTTTTGTTTTATTTATTTTTATTTTTTAAGTTTATTTATTTTAACTTTTTAGTGTTTATTTATTTTTGAGAGAGAGAGAGAGAACTCAATCAGGAGAGAAGGAGAGGGAGACGGAGGGAGACACAGAATCCAAAGCAAGCCCTGTGCTGTCAGCAGAGAGCCTGATGTGGGGCTTGAACTCATAGAACATGAGATCATGACCTGAGCCCAAGTTGGCTTCTTAAGCCACTGAGCCACCCAGGAGCCCCTAATTTATGTATATTGAGAGAGAGAGAGAGAGAGCACCAGAGTGTGGGGAGGGGCACATAGAGGGAAAGAAAGAATTCTAAGCAGGCTCTGCACTGTCAGCACATAGCCCAACGGGAACACATGAACTATGAGATTATGACCTAAGAGGAAATCAAGAATCAGACGCTAACACCCACTGAGCCACCCAGAACTCCTGATACTATTTTTATTAATATTTATTCATTTTGGGGAGAGCGCAAGTTGGGGAGGGGAAGACAGAGGGACAGAATATCCGAACACTGCACCTTGCTAACAGTCTGACAGGCTGACAGAAGCTGAGGCCAATATGGGGCTGTAACTCACAAAGTGTGAGATCATATCATGAGCTGAAGCCGATGCTCAACTGACTGAGCCACCCAGGTACCCCCCAAAATATAATTTTAAATTACCTTTAAATTAAAACTACAGTTTAAATGTTACATAAACAAATAATCTGACATTTGATTAAAGGAAAAGAACCAATTTTCAGGTTAATTCATGAATAAATAATTGTAAATTGACTGTCATTTTCCTACACTTTTGAAACACATTTTTTTTCTTTTATCAGAACAAATTAACACCAATGCACTGATAGTGGGATAGACATTGGACACAAGCTTCTGAAAATCCAGGATGACTCTGTCTTATGTCCATAACAGAGTTGCGGAGAAGGAGATGATGTCGTCCACCCAGTACATGGCCACAAAGAAACTCACAAACAACAGGACGGTCTGGGTGACCCTTGTCTCTGGGGAGACTCTTGCGGAGAGGCTGGTGCTGTGAAGGTGCTGGCACTGCCTCTGATGCCTGGACAAGAAGGTCACCATGTATGCACTTGAGAGCAGCCTGACTCCCGTGAAGAAAAAATCCCTGGATAATGTCAAAATGAAAAACAGCACCTGATGATGGAGCTTATGTGGTAAAATGGACAGTATTTACTGACATGCAGTAGATTCCTCTGGGTCACGTTAGAAGCAGAAGTATGGAAGATACAGTTACTATTGAGAGACAAACAGAACCCATTGGATGATAAAAGAATGAAAGATGTACTTTGTGAATTTCTGTTAAAGATTTTTTAATCCTTATTTATTTTTGAGAGAGACAGAGACAGAGCAAGAGCAGGGGAGGGGAAGAGAGAGAGGGAGACACAGAACCTGGAGCAGGCTCCAGGCTCTGAGCTGTCAGCACAGAACCCGATGTGGAGCTTGAACTCATGGGCCACGAGATCATGACCTGAGACGAAGCCAGACACTTAACAGACAGAGCCACCCAGGCGCCCCTGTGCATTTCTGTTTAAATCTGACCAACCAGGAGGTGCTGGGGATGATGATGATGATGGCCTAGAGGATGCTCAGGAGGCAGGTGGTGCTCATAGAGAGACCAAGTGTCTATGCAGAGTAAAGCCTTACACTTGAAAGTATTCCAAAAGTTTAATATTTCAATCAGATCTGTAGACATCATAAACAGTATAGTGAATTGTTTCATTATGTGAACAAGGGCGAAGTGACCAATCATAAGGTCAGTGGATTTAGGCCTGTTTTGCAGGAGTATGAAGGTATGGAAGAGAAGGAGGACTGGGTTGGCTGATTCTAATGACTATTTGTAAAAGTTGGCATATTTTAGTAGTAATGTAAATGGAAAATGTGTTTATAATAGGCACCAAGAAAAAACATAGTTTGTGTATCTGAAAAACAAGACCTCACAACATTAATGTCATTTACATTGTTGTCAAACTCATCACCATATCACAGTTTTTATTTTACTCAAATGTATTTCATCCAATTTGTCAAAAAAGCTGTGTTGTCTTAGAAATACATTCTCAACATTATTTGTACACCAATTTGAGTATGTGAGTATTTTATATATGTACATACGTATCTGAAATCTGTATATTATCTATCGATCAATCTATATCCATCACCTATTTATCACCTAACTAGGGAGAGAGAGAGAAATACGGCAAAGACAGAGAGAGGGAGAGTCAGATTTCATGCAACATATTCAACTTCATGTCAAGATAATGTATCCATTTCTCACACTGCTATGGTACATGCACTTTTTTTTTTTTACTTTCTGTTCTGCATTATCCTGTCTCATATTCAGCACCAAGAATACTAATAGTCATAAAAAGAATGCACAAGTGTTTGTATAGTTGCACTGTTGTATATTTTATGTTAATGGGAAAGAATTGTTAATCAAACATTTGGGAAAAATAATGTCCAGGTGAGGTTTCCATTAGGAATTGTGACCCTTTCTTCTTCCTCCTTCCACACTTAGGGACCATCATATTTATATTGGGCTTATCCTAATAATTCAGAATGATCTCACTTTAAAATCAGATAATTATTCATCGTTCTTATACAATTGACACATAAACTATTGTACTCACATTAGAGATATGAAGATTTGGATGTGGACATCCTAGGGGATGAAAGCACAAATAGGAAGAGGAAGAAGCATTCTGCTAGGGTGTTGGGCTTGGGTGATTGAACTAAGGGTCATCCTACAACTGGGTGTCAACATGGGGCTGTGGGGGCTCACAATGTCTCTGGGATCCAGGTGAGGGCAGTGAAAGGGAAAAGGTCAGGGGCAAGAGCAAGAACAGGGGCAGGGGCAGGAGCAGGGACTGGGGTAGAAGCAGGAGCAAGGCAAGAACAGGACCAAGGGCAGGGGCAGGGGCAGTGGCACCAACGGGGCAGGAGCAAGGCCAGGGGCAGGAACGGTGGGAGGGCTGGGAGCAGAAGCAGGAACAGGGCTAGGGTCAGCCCTTGTTTCTGGAGACTCCCCATTGGTCGCTTTCTCCCTGTGTCCAGAGTGGCCCTCCTGGGAGTTTGGACACATGGGCACCTCTACAAGGTAGACAGAGCATGGATCTGCCAGCCAATCCCCAATCTTATCTGTAGTCTTCTGCAAAGGCACTGAATAGCCGCTGTCCCAGAGGTATCACAGACCTTTCCGGCCATCATCAGGGTCCTTCTGCCTTCTCCCACTGATGCTCATAGATTGATAACTAACCTGTTTACAGCCTGCACCCAGGACATAGTGACATACAACTTCAGGGCTCAGGATGAACCTTGGGGACAAGAGGGAAGACCCAGAACACCCTGTCCCTCTCAGCCAGCCTTGACCTGGGTTGTGAGCATGACCATCTACCAGGCATCTGACCCCTTATCAGACTGCACCTACTCAGGTGGGCTCACCACACATGACCCTTCCTTCCACACATAGACACACACATGGGGAGGGGAAGTGGGGCCGCACAGGTCAGTAAAAGAGGTATCAGGCTTGACTGGCCAGATCTGGGACTCTCTATGTTACCTTTGGGTCTTTCCAAGCTAGAATCCAGAGGCGCCCAGTATGAGACATGACACACTGTCTCCAGGATCGGGAAACAGTGTCACTGTTGGCTCTCCTGAGCTGATAGCCTTGTGACGTGGGCACACATGTTGCTTATGTGCAGGTTTCCAAACAAATAAGCCCAGCAAGACGCTGTCTCCAGAATGTGGGCGCCTGGTTACCAGGTTGTGAATTCTGTTGTGTTCTGTTGTCAAGGAAGTGAGGTCACTGCCTGGGGTCCCCTTACCAGGCTTCTTCCTCATACAAGAACCATGCCCTCAGGCTGCAGAAGGGCTCCACTCCACCCCATACCCCATCCATACAGTGACACCAACACACCTCACCAAAAGCCCCCAGGAGGCCTGGGTGCAGCCAGTGCCTCAACGTTGAGGGCACAGGGCTGGGTTGAGGCCAGGCTCCTGCCCCTGACCATGAGTGTGACCCTGCACAAATCCTGACCTTCTCAGGGTCTCCCTAGTGCCCCACGTTGACCTCCATGCTAGCATGAAGCATGCTTTTGTTTCTCCCTCTCTCTCTCTACCTCACACTCTCTCCCCATCTCAAGCTCTCCAAATAAATTAGGTAAATACACATGGAAATGAACAAAGAAATCAATAAACACATTAAAAACTACATTGAGACAAAAATAGCCTTGATTATGTTTTTACTGAACACTTGGATGGGAATATACTGAGTCTTACTTTATTAATTGCTCACTGTATATGTATTGCACCAGTGACAATATTAAAGGAGCTCAGAAGGGTTAACTAAGTGTACAGATTTTGTTGCATACAGTGTAAACATATGTAATATAGGATTATAAGATATAACTTGATAGTTATGTTCTGAGAAAGTATTATAATTTTTAAAAATTGAATTCCTACTGATGCTCATTTTCTCTCTAGAACAAATGTGAATTGTTTTGTCTAAATTTGTCCCATCAATGAGGAATATTAGAAATGGGATGAGCTGGGATTTCCACCCAAGAAAGGAATATCTTTGTATTCTGAACATATTCCATTTATTCCTCTCCACACTGAAAATTTCACCATTAACTCCATTAGAAAGCAGGACTTTTTCTTTTTTCTTTTTTTTTTTTTTCTGTTATCCCTGTTTTCACAGAGAAGAATATGGTGTGGGATAGGAATCATGTTTGGAAACAAAACATACCGTCTTAAATGGCCCACTTGCCCATGAGGACACACACTAGGCGAGACAGGAGCAAGCTGGAACCACAGAATGTAGAGGTGCCTTTACTCTGAAAGTTGTCTGATGACCCATCCCCATGGAGATGTGATGATGCACCTTTGCTTCCATTCTTATTGTTACTGTGTGAGCTGAGCTGTTGCAGTTTGGTCACTGGTGAGAAGTTCCCCCATGATGGGAAATGTGAATTGTTGTTCTTTAGGTATGTCCTACTCATTTTCTGAATTCTGTTCTTTCAAGTAGGCTATTTGCCACTGAACTTTTTCTCTTGGTGTTCACCTCCACCCCTAATTTGCCAACTGAGTTCTGTGAATGTACTACCTTATTTTGCTGTAAAACTTAAGTTCTGGAGCTGGCTTTCATAAAGATCTTCCTCAATATAGAAAACTGTGCTATTTCTGAATTCCCAGTGTGTACACAGTCTTACTGAGTACACACACAGAGAACACACCCACACTGCTCTCATTGGGTCAGGAGAATCTTGATTCCAGCCCAGCAACAGACATGACAGGGAAGGGAATTGGAGCTCAACTCTTCTGAATGCAGATGTCAAATTCTGAACGTAAATATGAGTAGTCTAAATCACGACATTTTTAGGTGGAAAGAAACTAGGATTTCTTGGGTATTGTCCTGGGCTGGTATGGAAGGGACTTTGAGCTGTCTGTGTGATGCCTGAGGGCAAAGAAGAGAACATGCCATTGGGTGGGTGGAATAAATGTTTGGCAATGTTTGGCAACTTAGTATTGGACTGCCTGATAACAGTCAAAGGAGACCTCAGGTGAGGTCTACAGGCTGGGCACAAGGAGGAGACCCTCTAAAAACAGACAGGAGTCTGAACTCTACACCTACAGTGTCCAGATAGGATAAAGAGACCTAAAAATAAAGACTAGATGTGGGAGAGGAAGGAAGGAGCAAGGAGGTGTTCACTGCAGCCACTGCATCCAAGCCAGTGGCTCTAGGCCAGACCTTATTCCAGGCCCCTTAGGATTTTCCTCAGATCAATAGTAACACTCTGAGCATCATAAACTTAATTCATTCAATCAGCTAGCCCCAGCACAGATGGTAACTTTCCTGTTCATCCCCACAAACTTCTCATCAGGGTTGGTCAGTTGAAGGGAAGCAAATTCTAGTCTGAGTCCTAGTGTGGCAGTTGGTCTGGAATGGCCCAAATATTGAATCATCTTTGGGGCCAAGCAGACCACTGGTCCATGTGAATGTTCAAATAGCTATTGGGAATGCCCTAGGTGAGTGAGCTGACTTTCTGAAAAGCTGGGGGAGGATGGCTAAAGGCACACTTCCCTGGTCTTCCATTGGGTCTTCATTTGGAAAAACTGCACCATATTTTCTGTCACGGA